TCACAAATGCTGTTTTTCTTTTTTCTTAAAAGGATTAAGACAATATTATCAGACACTGTCAGTTACTATTATAGCCATAATCTTTTTACTTCTAAGTTAATATTAGTGAATTCTACAAATATCTAAATTGATATAAGGAACACTGAAAGAAATTAAACTGTCTCCCCCAACCCCCAAAACAACCTTCTAGCGGGTACTTAACAACGTTGCCTTGGAGGAAGTTGAACTTTTATTATTTAAGATTACGGGTGGAATCAGCTGCTTCCAGGTTACGATGGAGTAACAGCTCTTGCCATAAACAACTATAAAATGGGGGTGGGGTTGGCAATTTAAATAGGCGTTGGACACTAGGCAAAAAAACCCAAGAAACTCAGAAAGTGAACCAAAAAGCACGTAACTAAAAAGAAAAAGTGCTTGGTTGGTGTTTTAGATTCTTGTGGCGGCTGTAATAAATTACCACAACTCGGTGCCTTATTCTCCAGCAGTTCTGAAGGTCAGAAGTCCAAAATCAGTTTCAACGGGCCAAAACCAAGGTGCTGGCAAAGGCATATTGAGAGCTTAATCAAAAGATATTTACATGTCTCCAGTTTCTTGGGATATAGTCCTAGAAGTGGGATCACTGGGTCAAATGGGAGTTCCATTTTTAGTCTTTTTGAGGAAACTCCATACTGTTCTCCAGTGGCTGCACCAGTCTGCATTCCCACGAGCAGTGCACGAGGGTTCCTTTTTCTCCGCATCCTCTCCAGCACTTGTCATTTGTCATTTGTTGATGATAGCCATTCTGACAGGTGTGAGAAGGTACCGCATTGTCGTTTTGATTTGCATCTCTCAGATACACCAATCAGAAAGGATATATGCACCCCCATGTTCATAGCAGCACAATTTACCATAGCTAAGATTTGGAAACAGCCTAAGTGCCCATCAGCAGATGAGTGGATTAAAAAACTGTGGTACATCTACACAATGGAATACTACGCTGCTATAAAAAAGAAGGAACTTTTATCATTTGCAACAGCATGGATGGAACTGGAGAGCATTATGCTAAATGAAATAAACCAGTTGGAGAAAGATAAATATCACATGATCGCACTCATTTGTGGAATATAATGAACAACATAAACTGATGAACAAAAACAGATCCAGAGACAGAGAAGCATCGACCAGACCATCAAACCTCAGAGGGAAGGTAGGGGAGGGTGGGGGTAAGGGAGAGAGATCAACCAAAGGACTTGTATGCATGCATATAAGCCTAACCAATGGACACAGACAACAGGGGGGTGAGGGCATGAGTGGGGGCGGGGGGCAAAGGGGGGATAAGGACACATATGTAATACCTTAATTAATAAAGAGAAAAAAAGATATTACATGTCAAGAATCTTAAAAGGGAACACATATGTCCAAGAAATCTTATAGCAATTTTTTCTAAATGATCAAGGATACACACAAAGATTTAGCTAGAAATTCATCAAAGCACTTAAAATTTTTTTAAATGCAACCAGTCACTAGTAAGAGAGTAATTAAACTATGGCCCTCCCATGAATACAATGGCATGCATTCATTAAAACAATATTCTATAATACTAAATGACAAGAACATGGCCCTATTTAGAATGAGAAAAAAATTAGTAAAAAAACTAAAGGCCAAATTTGGGTGACAGAATTGTTACGATATTTTATTTCTTTCCATACCTTATAAATACTCTAAAATAAAAATCTAATCTAATAAAAGAGAAACATGCAAATTGACTGCACCTCCGCTACTCCCCAAGCCATGCCCACCAGCCAATCAGAGCAACTATATGCAAATTAACCCAACCAAGATGGCGGCCAGCAGCCACAGAGCTGAAGCAAGCAGGAGGCTTGGTTGCCTTGGCGATGGAGGAAGCCAAGCTTCCCGCCTGCCCTGGCTGGCTGTGGCCTCCGCTCAAGGCAACAAAGTTTCAATTATAGAAGATAAATAAATCCCAGATACCTGCTTCCAGCCAGCCTCCACTGGGAGCTTGGGTGGCTGGGGGCCGTGGCCAGCCTGCAAACAGCCATCAGCCCCTCACCCAGGCTGGTCAGGCACCCCAACGGGGACCCCAACCCATGCACCAGGCCTCTATCCTATATAATAAAAGGGTAATATGCAAATTGACCCTAACAGCAGAATGACTGGGAATGACTGGTCACTATGACACATACTGACCACCAGGGGGCAGACGCTCAATGCAGGAGCTGCTCCCTGGTGGTCAGTGCACTCCCACAGGGGGAGCTCTGCTCAGCCACAAGCCAGGCTGACGGCTGCCAGTACAGCGGTGGTGGTGGGAGCCTCTCCCGCCTCCTCAGCAGCACTAAGGATGTCAGACTGCAGCTTAGGCCTGCTCTCCACTGGCAAGTGGACATCTCCCGAGGGCTCCTGGGCTGCCAGAGGGATGTCTGACTGCCAGCTTAGGCTCAATCCCCCAGGGAGCGGGCCTAAGCCAGCAGGTGGTCATCCCCTGAGGGGTCCCCCGAGTGCACAAATTTTTGTGCACCGGGCCTCTAGTATTTTATAATAAAAGATATAAAAAGTCTCTTTTAAAAACTGGAGGAAAGAGAAAAATGTTTTATTCTCCTCCTAAACATTTGTTGTTGTTAATCCTCACCTGAGGATATTTTTCCATTGATTTTTGGCAAAAATGGTAGGGAGGGGGAGAGACAGAGAAAGAGAGACAGAGATGTGAGAGAGGCACATCGATTGGTTGCCTCCCTGTACACACCCCACACACCCTGACTGGAATCTATTCCAGCCGGGACCCTTTGGTCCTTGGGCTGACGCTCTATCCACTGAGCCAAACCAGCTAGGACCCTCCTAAACATTTTTCAATCAACTTCTCTCTCTCGCCAAGGAAATGGCAGACACTCGTACCAGTAGACTTTCTGTTGCCAGGTCTCTTTCTCAACAGAGGAGCTGGCACCAGGAGGTCCTACCTTTTTAGAAGTGCCAAGTTCAGCTGACTTCTCCGAAAGTTCTGAAGACGACACAGCTTCAGGTCGCTGGCTACCTATTTTCTCTGGTTTATCCCTTTCATTGCAGCTTTCAGATTCATCACTAATGGGCTTGAGTTTTCTTCCTCGCTATGCCAAGAAAACAGCATTACTGCTTTAGAAAATACAAATGCTTATCACTCTTATCGTAACAGTAGCTGACCATCAAGCCCACACTTCCCATTTCTAAACTTCAAGATGGAACAGGGAGATGACAAGATTAGGGGGTAGGTCAGGCAACCCAGAGGAAAGAAAGCTCCACATACTCCCAGTACACCGGTCTGCCTTTGTAAACCACAATCAAACACAGTACGGGAACGTTACAACTGACAAGGTACACGGAGATACGAGACCTCTGTCATGGAAAACACTTCAGACATAAAAACATTTCACTTATCTAAAAAGTACCTTCTAAAACGTAATACTCTTCCTCTATGAAAAACATTGCCACAGAACTCTTTTTTATCTGCATCCAATCTAAACAGGATATGGAATATTTTATGGAACATTTTCTCTATTGTCATCCAATCTAAGCAGGATATGAACTATCTTAAAAATTAAGGTAGAAAAGGGAACACTCCGACGTACCTTTTTTGCACTAACTTTCACAGGCTCGTTTTCACTTTCTTCAGTTTCAGAAGTGTTCGAACTGTGCCAAAGAATGAGCCGTCAATATCTTGCACACATTTCATTTTCATTCACGTGTTTTAAGTTGCTTGCCCAACAAGAGAATAAGCTCCACTGAATGAAATTTCCCGCCTGTCATGGGGGGGCTGCCACCTGCCAAGAAGCTCTGGTCGTCTCCCACGTCACCCCCAGGCCACATCCCGTCACCCCCAGGCCACATCCGTTTATCCTTGGTAGGAAGTACTGTTGAGTGTCCCATTACAGCAGCACCTTGTGGTCACATCTGAGAACTGCACCCTCCTCCGAGTCACCACGCCCAGGCCCATCATTACGTGGAATACGTGGGAATACTCCTTTTGTCCTTAATTTAACCCCCATCTCAAAATGCAGAGTACAGTGAATAAAATTACTTAAAAAATTCAGAGTCTTCCTTTGAAGGTTCCCTGTGTGGCAGGAAGACCAAAGATAATGCCAAGCGATGACTTGGCAAGCAATGGACAGAGAAGACGAGGACAGATGGCCGGGGATGAGGAAAGACAGCATAGCTATGACACCTGAGTTGACTTTTGAAAATACTTTTCCAGGCAAAGAAACACAGGAAAGAACAATGGCCGGTTCGTTCTTCAATGTTTCAGTCACTTGTTTAAGATCATCGAATAAAGACAAAATCTACACCAAAAAAAAAAAAAAAGAAAAAAGAAAAGAAACACAGGAAAGGGTATGTAGGTAGAAGGAAAAGTAAGTGTAAGGCACGGTGGTGTGAGACAGCGGCATGTTCCCGGAATGTGCTGTGACAGAGAAGGGAATGCTAGGGGAGAGAACAACATGGGACCGGGGAGCTGGCCATGCAGCCAGAGCGCCCTCAGCTGGTCAACAGCCGGCAGCGGCTGTGCCATCAGGACCCACCTGCACCCGCTCCTCTCCCCACCGCCCACCCACCTAATTCCAACTCAGAGGCCATGCCCTCCCGAGTGATTTGCCAGTGACTCCTTGTGAGTACCTCCTGCTCCATAAGCTCCATGAAGACAGAATTATGCCCATTTTGAGTTATTAATACAGTGCCTGGTACTTAGTGCTCAATAAATGCTTGTTGGAAAAATGCCAAATAAAAAGCTACCATTTCAAAGTTTACTAGATGCCAACCCGATTGAAAGCCTGAGAGGATAAACTGATCTTGAAACAATGGTGTGAGGCAGGTTGTATTATCATCCCATTTCCCGATGAGGGAGCCTAGAAGTTAATGTCTTATGTCTGACCCAGGCCGAGTACTTGACAGTGGCAGAATAAGGATCTGAACCAGCACAATGGGCTGAGGCCCTGTCACCTTAACCATGACACTGTGAATAGGAATGAATTCAGATATTCACTGAATGCCTATCGTGTGCCAGGGTCACGTTCTAGGCACCCGGAGAACAGCAGTGAACAGAACGAAGTCCTGCTTTTTAAAAAAGATGCTCCTACTGGGGAGACATAATGAACAAATTTAAAAATGAACATAAAACATTGGTCGGGTAGAGATAATGCTGTAAGAAAAAGAGCAGCGAAGATGTACTGGTGAAGAAAGGTGGTATTTTCTATGAATTTTATCCAAGCAGAGCACTGTGTTGATACTTGAAATCTAAAAGGAAGCACGGGAGCAGGCCATACAGATCACAGAGGAAGAGCAATCAGGCGCAGGGACTGGTATATGCAAAGGCCCTGAGGTGGAGCATATGTAAGAATTTGAAGTTGACGTGATCCAGAGTGAAATAAGCCAGCCACAGAAAGACAGCCACTGCATGACTTCACCATAGGAGGGATCCGAAATAGGGACACCCGCAGAATCAGAGAAGGGGATGGTGGTTGCCAGGGGCTGGGGACATGAAGTGGCATGAAGTTTCAGTGAAGTTCTACAGACCTGCTGAACAGCACTGCACCTATAGCTAACCCACCGCACCGGACACTTACAGATGTGTTAAGAGGGTAGATCTCATGTTAAGTGTTCTTATGAAAATAAGATTTTTAAAAAAATATTTTTTTTTTAAAAAAAAGAAGCCAAACAACATTACTTCAATGCTATTTTCTTTCCAGAGATACACCCCAAACAAAATGACACAAAGTTTAAAAATGCAGGACAGAAAAAAAATACTAAGTAAAAAAAAAACAACAAAACATTAAAAAAGAAAAAAAAATTTAAGATCAGCAAGGAGGTCAAACCAATAGGTTATCCCAGAATGCAAAGATGGTTTAATATAGTAAATCTATTCATATTGGTCATATGAGTAAAAAACATAAAAGAACACATAATTCTCCAGAGACATGGAAGCATGGAGCAGACCGATGAATCTTGGGGTGGGGGTGGGGGGGTGGGAGGGTGGTCCCCATCTAAAGAGCTCAGAAATCCCATTAGCCATGAATGAAATAAACAGGTGCTGGAATACAAGCGTACCTCCTTCTTGCTTCTCGTCCTCGCGGAGGTGAAGGGATAAAGGACCCACAGTGCTTGGAGAGCTCAGCTTCATCGCTGTAGATAGCAGTGCTGTGTAGAGGAGGCTCTACAAAAGGTTTTTAAGGTGCAACGTTAAAAGTCTGCCTGGGCGGGTTTAAGGTTGTTCCTTTACAATGGAGCACAAAGTGATTTTGTTTAAATGGCAAACAAAATAAAAATCAATTACACCACCTACTTCCCAAATGTCTTTGATCTCACACCTCAACAATGAAACATGTAGACCATCTCACCCACAAATACACATCGGATTAGCCGTCGGTGGGCATTTATCCATCATCGCCTGTATCTCTGTACTTGCATGAAAATGTCTCCGTGAGAGGAAAGATAGCTACAAACAGGAAACCTGACATCTCTCTCCTCCCCTGACGGAGCCACGCTCACTGCACTATCAACTCCAAGGCCACGGTGTTCGTGACTGACTCCAGTCCTCCCTCCCTCCCCTTATCGCTAGAGCCTTGAGCTGACATAAAAAGTTAACCCGAATAAGGAAGATCTAAGAGGAGACCGAGTGGCCGAGATGGAAAGGCACAGAGGAGATGCTGTTACAGGGCTAACAGGAGAGCTGGCAGGGTGGGGCCCAGGGCAGGTGGAGGACTCGGGGAAGGAAGCTGGTGGCTGAGGTGGTGGCGCTGAATGGCGGCAGAAGGATGCTGATGGGAGCCAAACCACCATTTCTTCACGCTCAAACTTTAGCACGGCAGTGCCAATTTACACATCTTTTCAAACAGCTGCATAAATAATGAACTTCTCACCAACGGCACCATTTTAAAGTTAGCAATATACTCTGTATTGGCCTCCACCAGGCAAAGGGGTTTATTTACTGCTGGGGATAAAAAGGAAAAAAAGAGGAACAGATCAATCCTGAATCTCCCTCTGTAACCAGTCATACAAGCTGGACTCTTAGAACTCAACAGTGAAAAGATAACCCCGCTTTCTGTACCATTTCTGGCCTCTGCAGTGGGCAGTGATGTGGACAGAAGCCCTCCCTCCGGCCACACTGCTGGGCAGCCAGGCACCAGCCGGTTTCTCCCACCAGGACAGGGAAGCTCTCCCTGGCTCTCGGAAGCATCCTCTGCCTCGCTGTGTTTAAGAAAAGGGGAACTTACCTCCCTCTTCTCCCTAAACCCAGGCCCCTGACAGACACCATACGAGGCGACCTGGTATGACTGGCTGGACCGATGCTCCTAGAAGAGTTCTACTCTGATAATGTTTAATGGAGTTCTGAGTTCCAATCGACTCAGAAGTGAGAAAAATTAATTCAAATCACCAAGAACTGCCCCGAACATTCTATTCATACGCAGACAACTGAGTTTTATATTTGAAGATACTGCTATCTTTTTATTACTAACTAGCCTGAATGTTATTGCTTCAACTACTTTAAAGTGTTTAGGATAAAGGTTTGAAATACTAACCAAAGGATTCATAAGGTTCTTCATCTTTCTCATTTTCATTCATCCTGCCCATGCTCGAGATTCCAGAATTCTCAGAAAAATCATACACGTCAGTGGGCTTGTGGGGTTGGCCGGCTTTCTGAAAGCGAATGAAGTCAGTCACTGAATTGGCTTTACGAACAAGAACAGCACAAAACGGATCGACTTCTCAGCAAGGACACCCCTGCTGTCGCTGCGGCCGAAAGAAGCGCCCTTCACACTTCTGGGAGCGGCGTGGGGGGTGGAGGAGGGAGACGCACACAGACCCCTCTGATCATCTGCGGCAGGAGCTGGCACACTTTTCCAAAAAGACCAGAAAGTAGTGACCTGAGGCTTGGCAGGCCGCAGGGCCCCTGCGACAGCGACTCAGCTCAGCCATTAGCCTGAGAGCTCGGGGACGGTGCAGACAGTGAGTGTGGCTGTGCTGGATAAACTTCACTATGGACCCCGAAACCTGAATTCATAGCATGTTCTCATGTCATGGGATACTCCCTCCTTTATTCCAACCATTTGAAAATGTGAAAGCCATCCTTAGCTTGCAGCGCTGGACACAAGCAGGGGCCCAGGGTCCGTAGTTTGCCAACTCCTGACCTACAGAAAGTGATGGGCCTCGACCCAGAACAGCCCCACAGGTCTGAAGGGTCATCAACAGTTCTGAGGATACCCAGGGTTAGAACCCCTGATCGAGGCAGAGTCTAGGGTTTGCAGTTCAATAGACAGATAAGCCCCATGAACTTTGCTACCCAAAACCCTCACGAAAGACCAAAACAGAGAAAATGAGAAAAACTTCCATAGTAGCTCTGGAAAACAGACGAGGAAATTCTGGAAGATATAAACAAGATGGAGTAAAGCTGACAAAACAAAAACTTGATCACTGACAGCTTCCCCGCCTACGTCCCCGAAAATTATTCAAGGAGTGTTTGGGGTGGAATGCCCAAGAAGAGGCAGACCCTCCATCCTCCTGAGGCTAAGCTGCCTTCCACAGGAGGGGAGGGCAGGAGAGCTGAAGAAACCCGTCCCAGGCACTCGGGACTTTAGCTAAGGGGGCTGGGAGCAGGTGGCAGCGCTCAGAGAAATCCCGCCTGCACACCGGACTTCAGGGCAGAGAGAAACCCATGCACAGAACAAGCACCCTAGGGCTGGGGGGAGTGGAGAGCTGAGGGGCCCCTGCAGGAGCATCCCTCTGCGGGGGCCTTAGGGCAGCAGGCAGGACACCACACAAGACAGCCAGCCAGCCAGGGCGGGACAGAGAGCAGAGCGGACTCCCTGACCAGTACCCTGCAAGCAGGCACCCTCCTACACCGTTCCTACATCTTAGGGTCCACTGCCAATGCCAAATGGACAACCCTGGAAAGTAATTTGAAATTGGCTACCCAGAGTGTTAAAGAAATGGCCTGCCTTTGTCACCGACTTAGTCTAAGCCCCTACCTTACAGTAAAGCTGTAATGTGGACTAAGTGGAATACCGTGAAACCATACAGTTGTTTAAAACGATAATACAGAGAGAAATGGCCACAAATGAAAGCAGCAACATACAGAAAGTTGTATACTTTTAAACAGCGCCAGTTAGCCGAGTGAAAATAAAACCAAGCTCGGTCCGGGAAAAACATTCAAAGCCTGAACCATCCTCTCCATTACATGGAAGAAGCGGTAGGAAGAGGAAAGCACTCGGTCACCACAACAAAACACGAGCTCGCCCAGTGACCTCTCCGTGGCTCCGAGGCGCCCACCAAATGTCAGTTATTTGTGTCATCAAAAAAGAGAAAAATCACATGAAAACAGAAAAAAGATAACTTAC